GCAGTTGGAATCACTGGCCAATGAGCTGTTGCTCGATTTCTTCGAATATTTCAATGTTTTTCAACTTCTGCGCGCCTTTCATAATCTCAATTCTCGCTTCAACAAATTACTCTTCGTGTATTTTCGAGCCTATCACCTTGATTTTCGATCGGTGTCCAAGCGTGACTTCGATTTGATGTGTCGACAGTATCTACCATCAATGGTTGATCGAGTTATTTCACTTCATCTGTCGGACGACGACGAGACTCCAAATCTACCCAATCTGTTTCTTTCTTCTGGTTTCATTTTTAATCAATTTACTCATTTACGATCGATTCTACTTGATAATCTGTTTCGACAAGATATGGAGAAAATCGTGTTGAACTGTCGGTCTCTTCCATCTTTCACTCATTTAAAAATGAGTAATGTTTTCTTGGGAGAACGGCAACATTTTGTTCACTTTTTGGACAACATTTGGAGTTTACCTAAGTTGACTAATTTGGATGTTGAGACAAGAGATTCGGCATCCTATCATTTCAGTACGTTAACAATGCTCTCTACAACAATCGAGCATGTCAACATGATAAGTCTTCACTTTTCGTTAGGTGATCTACGTCAAATTCTCGAATTTACACCTCGTCTGCAGTATCTTGCTGGATCTCTGAAACCAGGTCGTCAGGTCGATACATTATCACTTGTTGCTCCATCAGTTACTAAATTACGAATTCGGTCTAGTTGTTCACTAGTTCAGATGAATAACTTTTTTCAAAACATGCGCAATTTAACTCATTTAACTGTGACGGCATTGGATTTTATGCTCAATGGACATCAATGGAAAGATATCATCGTTATTCATCTACCTAAACTGAGAAGTTTTCGGCTACTTACGCAATGCCGTATTCCTAATCGGAATAATCCCGAAGAACAAATCAATGAACTTCTGAATACATTTCGAACTTCGTTTTGGCTTGATGAACATCGCTGGTTTGTTCGCTGTGAATGGTATCCAGAAACAGTATCTATAGGTCTATCGCTTTATACTCTACCATATGTTTTTGGTGATTCATATGACCTAAATCCAAGAAAATCGTACAAATCCACTTGTCCGGACAATACAGACTACTGGTCCTATAATCATGTGAGTAACGTCTGTTATGAGGAGAAACTCGAGAAGTGGGCGTTATTTCCGATACGCTTACCGAACATTCGTCATTTGACAGTGAGACTTCCTTTGGATAGCCATTTTTGGTCTATTTTTCCTACACTGAATCAGTTGACTTCTCTGAATGTATGGTCATTGCGCGGTGCTACTAATCTATCGCAGTTGGAAACCTTACTCGATCGGGCGCCTCGTCTCTATTCGTTGAGTGTTGATGAAAGTTATGGTTCCGTACTGGCACAATTGAAAATTTCGAACAAATCGATTCGTCGAATTGATTCAAGATATCCGTTCGCAAATGGTCTGGATAATTCGAACGCTTCAGACTGTTCGATATGGACGAATTTTCCACTGGGTCGTCAATGTGAAGTTTATCTGATTACGGTCGACTTACAAACCAATATTCTTGATCTTGTTCATCAAATGCCCCATCTTCGAGCTTTGACGATTCAATACAAAATTGACGAATCAGTGGCTGAAGGTATATCGTCGGAAAAAGATGAACTAGTGAAGCGGTTGCAAGATCAATTACCATTGACATATTTGGTTCAGAGACAACAGCAGGGAAATCGTCAAATTCGAATGTGGCTCGACTAATCAACATTACAAAACTATCTTATGTGACGATAGAAACAAACTAAAAAACAGTGTGTCACTTGAAAAACAGAAGAAAATTGCTTACAATGGAGGTGTTTGTATTGTCCGTGAGAAAAATGGGATGTTTTGAGGTCAAATAAAAGCTCTCATCGCCAAACTAACAAGGTTAAAATATTAGCGGCCCTTGGCTTGTCTACACGGAGATATTCCTATTTTAACGTATTTACAGTATATGCAGAGTGCTCACAATTAAACATTTCGCCATAGTTTTTTTTTCTTTCTTTCTGATGGTTGGATAGAGCTCGTCGAGTTGCATAAGAAAACATATGTTTCAAATTAAAAAAAGGAATATTTTACTAAAATCATAATTTAGGGTCTATTTACTCTTATATTTGAAAACGATGATGTTTTGGACTTTTTTCGTGAAACTCTTGACTTTCCTAAAATATTCTTTTTTCAATTTGAAACATGTTTTCTTATGCAACTCGACGAGCTCTATCCAACCATCAGAAAAAAAGAAAAAAAACTATGGCGAAATGTTTAATTGTGAGCACTCTACATATACTGTAAATACGTTAAAATAGGAATATCTCCGTCTAGACAAGCCAAGGGCCGCTAATATTTTAACCTTGTTAGTTTGGCGATGAGAGCTTTTATTTGACCTCAAAACATCCCATTTTTCTCACGGACAATACAAACACCTCCATTGTTAGAAAATGAAAACATTTAAGAGCGTTAGCACACAACAGTCTACAATCTTGTTAGCTGCTTCATCATATATGGGTAAATCCATGGAGACCCAACCACCATTTTGGAAAAGTTTCTTTTTCAATTTTTTTTCAATCAAACGACTGATCCGCTTTAGAAAACATTAGTGATGAGAAAAAACCAGTATCTTCTATCAAAATTATTGGACTATATGGACATTTCTCGGTACATATCGAAATATATAATGAAATCACGATATTCCAATTCAGTTGAGCTACGAGCAATGCCAAAACCATATCATAGCCAACTTTTGATGCTGAATTTGATGGAAGGGTCAGAAAAAGATATTGAAAAAGAAGAAAAATATCATTTATAAGGAGAATCGTGAGTTTTGGGGTGTATTTTGAGAAACGGTATATATAGAGTGTGTTATCAACGCATGTGACAAAGGATTGATAATCTCTCTGACTATTTTTCTATTCTAAGTGAGAAGATCTTGATAATTCTGAGAGCGCTGGAAATATCCAGCGGGTTTTTTCGAAAAAAATCGATTCAAACAACGAATAACATCAGAAAATATTTTCCTCGAACGAAAACGTGGTGATTTGATTTGATCGAGAAGTCAACCGACATTGAAGTGTGTTGTTGTTGATAGGCTGGAATTCATGCCTAGTTCGAATGCTAGGTATCATACATAAATAGAGATGATAAGTATTAGATTACAAAATGTATTTAGTTACGTGAAGAGCGAAGTTGTTCGTTTCTGCCTTTCATAACGTTGTCTTTGAGAAATTGAACTTCTTTCGAATCTAAGAAAAAGACATGTATACCAGGCTCTTGTTTATTTGATCTGTTAGCGGTGTGAAGTTGATTCTTCAGAGAAAATTCATAAAAGTCTCGCGCATTTGATAATAGGATATTCTTTGAGAGTGTAACACGTCTGGCAATGAACTTCAAGACCGCACCAGTTCCATGCCCTGTCGCTGTAAATGTCCAACATGCATCGAAATCAAAATCAGTTTTGTGATGAACTAGGTTTAAAATATTTGCATGATTTTTAAAATGAGAACTTGTACCATCGGTAAAAGAAATCAGTATATGTGTAAACATTCATGTAAGCTTTTGTGTGATATAGATGAGATTTACCTTATGTAATTGGTTTTCTTTACGTAAGGGAAATTCTTCTTTATAAATCAGACGAGAATTTTCTGTGCACAATAGAGAAAAGCTGTCGTATGTTCCATATGATCACTACTTATCGCTAAGTTGCGATGTTCTGGTCCAATAGTGAGATGAATAGTGAACAAGGTAACTTGATGTTGACTGAAGAATCCCTGTTGCACTTCACGCTGGCGGATAAGGGTATAGTTCATCGAAAAATCAATTTGGGCGACGATGAAGATTTTATCCGTCGATTGTCTGCGCAGCTCTTTGATGTAATCATGCTGTTGTCTATTACAATGTGTGTAGGAGAAATGTTGGCCAGTTGTCGTCGATCGTAGTGAGAAGAGAATCGACTGAACCAATAATTTGTTGAAGATCGAATTTGTTTTTCACCTTCTTCCACAATGCCCACGAACATTTATCTTCCATATCTATGATACTGCTGCCGATGAGTGTGTTGATGATTGTTTCTTTTGGGCAATTTTCACATGTGCCATTAAAGCAATCTCCCTCCTCAACCGTGCAAGTCATTCGGGAGATAAGATCCTTTAGATTGAAGTTTGTATCATTTCCTGAAGAACGTTTCTTGATACATTTTTTGCAGTAGTTGTTCCAAGCCTATTGTGAATCAAACATTAAAAGTAGATCAATATAATCTCAATAGACAAAAACCTTTAATAACAGATCCATGTTCTCGTGAATGATGCACATGCATGTTTCATGTGGTGACGCTATCTTTACTTCACGAGGTCGAACGTGCTATTGCTCTAGGATGTCGCTCGTTGAATAGTCGGTAAGCATCTAAGACGGTTATTTCCATGAATCGAACTGGCACTGGTTGCTTATTGATCAAAATCGTGTCTTAGGTATTACATGACATTCGACTTATCCCGTCTTCGCAGTAAAATTTAACCACAGCGTCGAAATTTGCATCGGATAATGACAAATTTCCTCGCAAACACTGTGGATACGCTAAAATTCCATGGTTTTTTTTAGAACCAGTGATCGACGAGCTTGATTCTGCCTTGAATTAAACCTGATGAGAAAAAAATCCAAGTGGCAGGTGATCAGATGATAGAGAATGCAGAGGATATACTCACCATCTTTCGATTTTCTTTCGATTCCAGTTCTTTGGTGCAATGGTCAGCAAACAAACTCGTTCCATATCATCACTTCCATCGAATAACTTCTTCAAACCATCCAAAAGCTCGTTCGATTCACTTATCAACAGTTCATGTGGATTGGGATTGTGTTTACCATGAGCTTCTCCCTTTAGCACATCACATAGTCCATGAAGACATCTATACACTTCATCGACTTTAGCACGAATGAGACGAACCGCTGTTCTAAGAATAAAAACATTGATAGAAAGTCGCGAAATCATGTCAATAATTTACTTGTCATGAATCGGATCTATGTTGAATAAGCGAAAGACAGAGGGCAGTTTTTCCATTGCTTCATTTTGACGATATTCGAGTTCAAAAGAAACATCACCTGGTTCTTCATCCATTGATTCGGAATCGGTCTCTTCATCACTATCTTCTCGCTCACCTTCGATTCCTTCGTTCATGTTATCATTATTTTCTTCAAAATCATCATCGTCATTAGCACTTCGATAAATGTCGATTTCCACCATTTGATTATTCATATCCGTTAATTCTAATGTATAACATCTAGGACAGAGCCAATGAATACGAGTGTCAGGAATGTCATATCGGGTCATTCAAAATATTGATAATTTCGATGGAACTGCCCTTAATCCTTTTGGCTTTGATGTAGACATGGTATGTCTCGTTGGATGTTGACAACATTTTTGTCTTGGCATTGTTTCCGTACAAAAGATAATAGTGAAACAATTTTGTTGAACAGTTTGTCTTGTGCAATATCAATGACTCATATCATTTGTATTGGCTCAAACTTAATTTTTTCGTACATACACATCCATATCTAAGATGTCCTCATATGAAGAACTTGCTATTTGTTATTCTAATGTCTTGATTCGTTTAAATCAATAAATTATCGACGTTTACATTGACAGCTATGATCGAAGATTGTAGTCATCTGATGATCATATTTGACTTATTTAAACAATCTAAGACTAGCATCATAGCCAAGGGGGAAACGGCGAATTTTTGGGATTGCCAATACTTGAAAATCCATAAAAAATCCGTAAAATCCCAGAAATCCGTAAAAAATCCCTGAAATACAATTAAAATACGAAAATCCGGAAAAAATCCCAAAAATCCATAAAAAAATCCCTGAAATACAATAAAAATCCATGAAATACATTATTTAAGTCAGTCG